GGAAAGAGTTGTAGTGATTGGTCGTATCTTCGATGATATTCCTTGTGAGCAAAGACATGAGAAACCCGGAAGTTTACTGTTTTTCATGATGGCTGCTTCTGCGATATGTTTACCCTTGCTTTTTCACTGTGGCCAGTAGAAACGTAACTAGGGAAGTTGATTCATTACAATGGTAAATCTGCAGATCTGTACACGCCGTTATCACCGAGAGTCTCGTGGTACATCCAAGGGAATGGGGAGATGTGGAAACAGAGAGAGGAGGATGGACAGCCGGCTCCAAGCATCATTACGATTCTAAGACCCGATTATTTCAAGTAATTATTATACCATGTTATTATGCTAATGCCAAATTATTTTCTTTTTTTTTCTCTACAAAATTGAGATTAAAGCCTTGGAAATATTGAAGGAGAATATCGGTGAATAGAGACAGAAGTGTTCAGTAGTCATGCTCTGAAACAGGGCCGATGTATATATTTTGGTGAAGCTACTTTTAGAACCGAACTAGAAATAATACAAACCAGATTTGAATAATAATAATAATAATAATAGGGCCAGACCAAATATTTTATTTGTTGGGGGGGCAATCTTCTGATAAATTGAATTAAACCGGGGGTGAGCCGAAAATTGAAATTAAAAATAGTTTGAAAGATTTTGGGAAATCGTATAAAAATACGATAAAGAAACTGTTAAAAACTCGTGTCGAAATAAATCAATTCTTTTCCATTTAAATTCATTGCAAGCAAAATTTTTTTTAGATTCTAAAATTATAGATTCCATTCAAAACAACAAATTTCAAAGGCTTACTTATGTGTCTTGTAAATATTTCCCGACAAAACAGCGCTTTGTCTTTTCAAACATCGCAAACAGTAAAAGAAAAAGACCAAAAGCAAAATCACTTCCACCTAAACTGAATCACAACTCTCTTCCCCCTTTCCCTTCTTTTTATGATCTTTTTTTTTTTAATTTAATTGAAAAAAAGCAAAAGAACCAAACTTGTTTCCTCCCTTTTCTTCGTCCAATCAAAAGCCTTTTCTTGTTCAAATGGTAAACCACGAATGTCAGAAATCGACAAAAATAAAATTAAAGATCTAGGACAAGAATCCGACCCAAAAAAAAAAAGAATCTCAAATGCCCATTTTACCCGATTTTCTCTGTACAAATTCATGGGATCGCCACAAAACAATGAACTCCAGAAGCATTTGCCTATATATTTCTCTTCACCTGCTTCTGTTTGAGTACAAAAACTCTTTGCTTCCCCAATGAATAAAACGGGAAGAAAGAAGCCAATTACATACATACATACATATATATATATATATTCCAATCCCCAAACGCCAATCGCCAAACGCCCTATTCCTGAAATTCTGAACGCTTAACAACTCAAACCACAGGTCTCAGACTCCATCAGTAAACTCTGTGCAAGTCATGTGTGCATATTTCCTGTCTGTATCTGTTGTCACTGCACTCTGGCAATACTCTCCCTTAGACAGCAAACAGTTCCTTGGTTTCAGCCACAAGAAAAAACACTCACCAATTTGTCAGGACCAAGTTTCTTCTTCTCATTTGCCTTCTAGGAAAATCCTGTTAATGAAATCTCTGAACCTTCTTGAGTAGAGTTTTGGATCCACTGCTGAGATCGAAGTGGGATCTGCTTGAAGGGATTTGTACGCGTGCTCTAGCTTTTTCGTGATATCGTAGTCTTGGAGAATGTCGATTATACCGAAATATAGGATCACATCCAATACCTCATTGCTCGTACTCTTGGGTGTCGAGGCATTGCTTTCGCTGCCTGGGTATGACTCCTGTTCAAGTCCTGTCACCCGCTCTGCTTTCGCGGGTGTGTTTGCCCCGAGCTTGATCAATGGCCCCCTGCTACATTTTTGTTCATAAACCAACCAACCAACCCAAATGTTCTCAATGTCAGTGAATAGGCTAAAAATCTAAACTTTGTGTAAGGTCAGGAGAAGCATAGTATAAATGTCATTCTGTCCAATAATGGTTTTGGTCATTATATATATATATGCACACACTTGCAATGGGTGAAGGTCTAAATTGAGGATGCCAAGAACAAAGGGGTACTCTGATATGAGATCAATGAAGAGGCTAAAACATAAAGTTTTGATTAAATCAGAAGCATAATCTCTCAATTTGTTAATGCCTCAGTGTAGTAGATTCTCGCAATGCATGAGGGTTTTAGGCCATGCCAACTTCCAAAAACAGAGGCGCATCTCTGTTATTTTTGAGTCAAAGACGATAGGGACCACACGAAGAATTCAAAAGCTAATCTCTGCAACAAGACATGCACAGCATACAAAGAATATCGGCTGAGATGGTGGGCCAACATCTAACCTTATTGTATGAATCTAATAAAACTATTAACCAATCCAACCCCAAGATTATATGATTAGTGGGCGGCACATCTTAAGGTATTATATACAAGGGAAAAAGTCCCAGACATCATTATATAGCCTATTAAAGTCAAATTATTATTATAATCCTAGTTGTCTGTCTTTTGCTTTCTTTGTGGAGGCAGTGTATTAGGCAGAGGAGAACCATGAAACACTATTTTTTCAAAGACCCAGCTGGTTTTCTATTGGGTTTCTTTATTCTTTTGGACAGAGATTGGTTCAACAACCAAAACGTGAATGGAAGTAAAGTTGATGAAGCAGAGAGAGCAGAGAACATACTTGCTTTCGATGATACAATCCATATTTGGAAGTGAATGATACCCTCTCATCAATCTGTCATCATGGTCTCTTCGAGCTGGATAAAGCAAACTATCTTCTCAGTATTAAATTCAACTCATGATCCGATAGCTAAAATGTACTGAAAATTGAACGCAGAAAAGGAATTACCAATGTTCAAGGACATGTCGTCGCGCAAGGAATCGTCCTGAAAATGAAGGCCGATCAAGAGACTGTAGTCCATAATCTTCTCGGTTTCTAAGAACTCGCAATCTCTATCGATTTGCCTGAGCACAGTTCATTGGAATGTCAGTGTTTGGAGCCATGAAGAGAGCAAAGAACGGAGACACAACTTGAATGGTGGGGATTGTGTGTGGGTTCTCACCTGATAAACTCGTGATACCACGAGCTCTCAAGCCGAAACACATACTTCAGGTCCAGGTCTTTGAGTGTCGTGGTCTCGTCAATTTCACCTTCAGGCTTGTCGATTGTGCGTCCATGAGATGAACCTTTCAAGTCGAACCTCTTGTGAATACGGTACTCCGAACAGAAAAGATTCCCCATCACAATGAAGCGTGTCTGGTGTGCATTTCAGTGCCAAATAAGAACAGCAGTCATATCATTACATGAAACAAACAATCTGAAAATTATAACCCAATTTTCATACCTTTTGACCTCCCACTGGCTTGACACAGTGCACCCCGAAAAACTTTGTCACCAACGAGTTCTTGTACTTGCAAACGTGTTCATAGTAACTTGGAAGCATCTTAACCAGCACCTAAGAACCGTTAACAGCTGCTTAATCCTTTTCTCATGTTTCCGAAAAATATCTTCAGAACCCAAATCAAACTATACCTTGATTTCAGATTTCTTCACTGTTTTTATCATGAATCGTTCATCTGGAGTCAAGTAAAAGAAGCATCCGCTCTTTCCCGGGGAAGAAAACTCTCGGAGTGACTCATTTCCACATATGGCCAACATGTAGTCTGCCGGGTCAATGGCAAACAATTCTCTCAAATGCCTGAGCAACAAAAAACATTGGTCACAAACCAAAGATTCCACGAACAGTACAGTTTCTAATTCTGGGAAATCCACAAGTGGAAACAGACTTTGAAGTCGAACCTGTTCTAAACTGCAAAGGGAATGAATGAAGCAGAACAAGCAACCACAAAATAATTCATACCTAAACACCATGGGGCAATAATCCTTCCATCTAAACTCCACAGATTGATGCGGAGGTGTGGACTTCGACCCTTCAGGAGGAAACCTTGTCCAGAACTTCTCCTTAGGATCAAAATCGGATTGCTTGAGTCCCCGAAGCACTGACACATGCTTCCCGACAGAATGCCTGTATTTACACACAAGTCAAATCCCATAAGACAACACCAGGAGAAACAATGTCTGAAGCAAAATATGCCCTAACTAGACAACACACCTAATACCAAGTTGCAGATTCAACATCAAATCATAGTTCTTGTGCCCAAACGTCACTGTTTGTCCAGGTTTCTTCACATCCCCTTGATCCAACCACCTAGGACTCCTCTTCACATTCACAGCTTCCCTGTTCGACCACAATGGACTCCTCAGTGATTCGGATTCTCCCCCTCCGCTTGTGTTATCGCCCGTATCTGACTCGCTCGTGTATTGACTATACATGGACGCAGCTTCAACGTTATCAACAATGTCACAAGTAATATCGCCAGCATCACCATCCAATTCCCATATGCAGATCCTCGGAAAGTTCGTGTTCCGAGACGCAGCATCCGTTAACAACTTACTCGCCATATCTTCCTCCATGATCGTCGTCGACATGGTCTCCGTCACCGACGATTCCTTCTTCTTCTTCCTTCCCCACCCACCAAAGTGATGATTGTTAGTATTGCTATTACTATTGCTATTGCTATGGCTAGTACTAGTTATCTCGTTACCACAGGTGAAAATCCCTTTCCCTTTTGGAACCCCATTCTCCCAAATCCCATCGTATCGATTCCCATTAGCCCAAGTCATCACACCTTTCCCGGAGATAACGCCGTTCTTCCATTCTCCGACATACTCGTTCCCGTCGCTCCAAACGTACCTTCCATGGCCGTCTTGAAGATTCGCCTTCCAGTTCCCTTGGTAAACGTCGCCATTTGCGTACCTCTTCTCTCCATAGCCATGTTTTCGACCCCAAAGCCAATGCCCTCTGTAAGTATCGCCATCGATGCCGATGAATGTGCCTTCGCCGTCCATCCGACCGTCCTTGAAGTCCCCCTCGTACGTGGCACCCGACGGCCATGAAAATCGGCCTTTTCCGCTCGCTTTCCCGCGCGTCCACTCTCCTTCGTACATGCACCCATCGGACCAGAGGTACTTTCCTGCCCCATGGGGCACGCCCGCCGACAAACCTCCCTTGTACAGGTCGCCGTTCTTCAGAAGCTTCTCCACTGTCCGAACCTCCGTCGCCGGAGAATCCGTCGCCGCGACCGCGTCGCAGTGCGTGGGGACCACGCGGCGGGAGCTTTGCTGGGATCGTGAGCCACCTCGTAGGAAAGAAGTGGGTTCAGTGCAAGATGGGGTCTTGTCGTGAATGTCGTCGGAGAAACTGAAAAGAGCCTCTTGCATTTTTTTTTAGGGTATATGGCACTCTACTTGTACTACCTCCGGAGAATCGCCGGGAAAATCAGCGACGGCGACATTCCCGGTGAACTTGTTTCCTTTTTGTCTTTGCTTTCCGGTCCGCTTTCTCTCTCGTCTTGTCGTGTTTCCACCAAAGACGATGATGAATCCACAGAGAGAGAGAGAACAAAAAGTAAATTTAGAGAGAGAAATCAGAAGACGATACAAAGCAGGGAGATGTGCAGGGAATGACGATTTACAAATATTTTCTTGTTTTTTTTTTTCCATTTCGCATATATTTTTTTTTTAATAAAAGCAATGGTGCACGACTTATGTAGAATGACAAAAACGCCCTTCAAAGCTTTTGGTAACAGAAATATGGCATCATGATCATGTGATACGTGGGGACAGCTAATTCCACTGGCTAACGCGGGGATGATCATAATCATAATCATAATCATTATATATACACACATACCATACTTGATCTCGAATCTATTAAATTACAACTGTTATTGTTTAAGATTAAATAATTTCATTGCAGTAGAATTATTATTCAATTCTACAAATAAAAGCCAAGCCAAATATAATTTAATACAATATTTTTTATATAGAATTGAATCGAAATGAATAATATATAAATATGTTAAAACTAATATAGAATTGAACCACAAAAGTTGCATCAAATGCGTATCAAGCTAAAAAAAATGATATATAAAAACAAAACAAATATAATTTTTTACAAAATGGAAAAAAAAATAATACGGATGTTTCATACCATGCAACTTCTTCCACAAAACCTTTTTAACTCCTCTTATTAATATTTCACTTCATTCAATATTCAACCACTTTGCCATAAAATATTCAAGATGCATCAAAACGAGTTATGTATCATTTTCTTTATATTTTAATTATCTCATCTCTTTTTGTAGAGAATTATTATTTAAATACGGTAAATAATTGCTATCAAATTGAGGGAAAAAAGGGTGAAAATGATGATGTTGTGGCATGAGAACCAATAAATATAGAAATTTGGGGAAAGAACTTATATTCTAAATCATTCGGCTGGATTTCGGTTTTAGTATTAGTTGGATATTGGTGCAGAATACGGACGATTAATAAAAAAATGTTGAAAATTGGTATAAACTGAAAATAAAAATGGGCGAAAGAAAGGATATCCATACACATGGCCATTTTCGGTTTTGGATGAATTGGATACATAAAAATCGAACCAAAATATAAAATAAATAAGCGGGTGGATGCAATAAAAAGTCGGTTTTAAAATCAACTATAATCTTAATGATATGATAGAAATAAATAAAATCGTGGTTTTATAGTTAAAAGGTGTACATTAATTGGTAGGTAATAAATATAAAGGCACATTCAGTCTCATAGCTGAAATGACAACTGTAAGGTTTGTTATTTACATTAATTTAGCCGGTTTGTTTGGTTTGGCTAAATGTACGGTTTACTTCGGTTTAATTTCATTTGTTTGTACTCAACCTCCAAAAACTCTAGAAAATTAAATTCGACAATTTATTATTCCCTCTCTAATATTCAAAAAGAAATTTTAAAAAAAAAACGAAATTTGAAACATCAATTCAAATATGCATCAAAATGATACTTGCTTTTTTATTTATAAAAAATAGTTATCGTTAATGTATTTAAGCCAACCATGTTAGAACTTAGGTCTTAATCGACCACAAAAAAAAAACAATCTATAATTTGTCATATATTCTATTTATGACTATAAATATTTATTTAGAACTGTTATCCACCAACCAACTAAATTCCAGTTTTTGAAAAAGTTTAGCCGACCGCATCCAATATTAATTTTTCATTTATTTCTTTACATGTAACTTCATTTTTTTCGTATACTTAATTATTTTTAATATAATCGTGTTATATTAATATTCATAAGGTATCGTTAATATATCAGTTGTTATATCTATGATTACAAACAATTCTAACACCCAAGAATGAATTTGTGACACAAAATATATTACATAAAAGGAAAGCATAAACGGAATGATTATATATATTTTAAAAAATAAAAGGAAATTTATTGAAATTAGAACACAATATTTTCGGCGAAAAATAGAATAAATCTGAAGAATTATATAAAGATTAGTTACCACCAACGACGTGGCAAATCGTGTGTGCTGACTCTGATCCGAATTTATCCACAGCCTTTCCCGGTCTCCGATCGAATATAACATTTTCTCTCTCCCGTCCCATTCCATTTTCCTGGAAAAGAAAACGCAAGAAAACTCCACACCCGAAGCGAATTCCCCAACACGCAGTACAACTACTCGCCACCAATTCCATCTCGGTAAGAACCCATCTGATCATCGACGCCAGCGAGTGAGATTCCGCCGGAAAGAAAAACGAATACTTTGCCGGAGATTTCAGAGAAGGAAAGAGAAGGTTTGCGGCGAAGTATGAGCAAATACGACGACGATGACGACGACCCAGGTGGGGAAACCGGGTCAAAAGCGCGTGGGATCCCTCCATATGGGTCGTCTTCTTCATTTTCTTCTCTGCCATCGCTGAAGCATTTCCACAGGGATTTGCTTGCCGGTGCGATGATGGGGGGTGTAGTTCACACGATCGTGGCTCCGATTGAGCGGGCAAAGCTTCTGTTGCAGACCCAAGAGAGCAATCTCTCCATAGTCGGTGATGGCAGCGGCGGCGGGAGGAGGAGGTTCAAGGGAATGTTCGATTGCATCTTCCGTACTGTCAGAGAAGATGGGTTCCTGTCTCTGTGGAGAGGCAATGGAAGCAGCGTTCTTCGCTATTACCCTTCTGTGGCGCTCAATTTCTCGCTCAAGGTAACGTTTGGGGACGTCCTGATTGTGTTCATTCGGATTCTGGTTAGGGTTTTGATGTGAGATTTAGGGTATTTTGAGTTGGTTGGTGTGAAGCAACCAGTAACAAGATATTTAGGTACATTGGTGGTGGTTGGATGTTCATGTGATTCCTGCTCGTCTTTTTCTTGAATTATCAGAAAGATTGAAAAGGGTTGTTTGATAATTGGAGGATGATTACCCAAAGCAAGAATCTTTATAAGATTGGTTGATTGCAGGCATAATACTGCCGGTTAGAAGCCTTATAACTTATCCATCTAATCTTGTAAATGGCTATGAATTTCGGAAAAATAATGTAAAGCATGATCCTTCAGGATTGTTCTGACTGCTAGCATGATTGTATCTGTTAGAAGCCTTATAACATATGCGTCTTCTCTTGTAAATATGGATGAATCGCCATGAAAATTTGTTTGCTGAGGAGTAAAGAGAACCTTTGTCTATAGTGTTTGGTGACAGGCGTGATGAAAGAGTTTTCCCTATTTTGTTGGAGTTGGATACAATTAAGGTTTTCATGTTTGTTCAGTTATAATCCAAAGACAGGATACTGTGTCGTAGAAATAAGTACTGTCAAATGTCGATATAGCATTATCTTTCGGCAAGTAACATTAGGAAAATGTGATTTCTGTATACCAATGCAATTGCCTGTGTGTGGGCTATAGAATGGATAGTCTGATAGCTCAGGTATATGAGTGGATAGTCTGATAGCTCTAAGCATGATGAAGAGATGTCCTGTTTTAAAAAATTTGCTTTCTCGATGAAGAAGAAAACTGGCTTGTCGGGCGAAACCATAAGAGGGTTTTCTTCTGAATCAACTTTGAACATTTTCTGCAATGAAAATATAGAAGCTGTGGTGAAACGGTATATAGTTTTGTTTCAGCTGAAGATAAAACGTAAAGAATCTAGCTCTGGTTCTCTTGGTAACATATCGGACTGATTCCAATAATATCTTTCGCTCTCTTTCGCCTCCTAAGATTTTTTCTCTGTGTTGTTTCTGCAGGATCTCTACAGAAACATTCTGAGAAACAGCAGCTCCGAAGAAAATCATATTTTTGCCGGTGCGTCAGCCAACTTCGCTGCTGGAGCTGCAGCTGGATGCACAACACTAATAGTAGTATACCCGCTTGATATAGCGCATACCCGCTTGGCCGCTGACATAGGAAAACCCGGGGTACGCCAATTCAGAGGAATCTGCCATTTCCTATCAACAATCCATAAGAAAGACGGGTTTCGGGGAATCTACAGAGGCCTTCCTGCCTCTCTACACGGGATAATCGTACACCGAGGCCTCTATTTCGGGGGTTTTGACACGATGAAGGAGATCTTCTCGGAAGAGTCAAAACCGGAACTGGCACTGTGGAAGAGATGGATATTGGCTCAGGCGGTGACGACGTCTGCAGGGTTGGTTTCCTACCCGCTAGATACAGTTCGAAGACGGATGATGATGCAATCTGGAGCGGACCGCCCAATGTACCGTGGCACGCTGGAGTGCTGGAAGAAGATATATACGAGCGAGGGGGCGGTTTCCTTTTACCGAGGAGCGGTTTCAAACATGTTTAGGAGTACAGGCTCAGCTGCTATCTTGGTTTTGTACGATGAAGTCAAGAAGTTCTTGAACTGGGGAGGCCTGTAGCGGCAGCAAGGGCAAGGAATTAGGGTAAATACAAAACAGAAACGATGATAGAGATTCGTTTTTTGATATACAGACATTTGAACTAGAGACAGAAGATCGATGTAGGAAATATATCAGGTGATGATGATGATGATGATATTCATTTGCCATGTTGGGTTTTGAAGATGTGGCAAAAACACTTTCACCTTTGATTCTTTGATCTTTTTGTTGAAACTTGATCTCTTAATCGTTTTCAGTTCTCCATTTACTGGTTTTGTCTCTCATCGATCGATTCGAATACATGTGCATGTGTGTGTACATGTATATATGGATATGTATGTATATATGTATATGTATGTATAGCCATGTGTTTGAGTATTTAAGCATATGTGTATATATATGTGCATTTTTTTACTTTTGCTGACGTGGCGTGTTATGTGTGACGTGACAATGAATTGGTAATTTTTTTTAACTTGCCAATGACGTGTTACTGGAACCGAATTTTCGATTTACCGTATCAGTTGTGGACCTTGTGGTCATCGTTTTTCATCGGATTGTTAATAATTAGGGGTGTCAAACGAGCCAACTCGAATCGTTTGAGGTTCGGCTCGTTTGGCTCGGATTGTTTTGGGCTCAATTTGTTAGGTTCGTTTTCTAACGAGTCAGAAAAACTTCGGCTCAGATCGCTCATCAGTTTTCCGATTTGAACGAGTCGAGTCATTGAATCAGAGATATATAATATTTTTTATTTATATTTATTCTAAATTTAACTATAAATTTAAATAA